ATGCGACCTGAGGATTCTCCCTTACTGTGGCTGCTGCGGGAGGTCACCACCTACCAGTCCAAAGCTGCCACTGTGCCCAGGCTCAAGGCCACATGGCCAGCAAGAGCCCCGGCCGGGACCCTCACCCTGAGCACCCTGGCTCCCGAGCCAGTCGCCAGTTGCTCAGTGGGGCTCTGTAGTGATCACAGACACTGCCTGCCTCCTGCGGTCCGCAGATCCGGCCTCACTTTCCGGTTCCGCCTGTGGTCTTCCGCCCTGCGCCCCTGTCCTCACTGGCTGCGCAGCTGCCACCATCTGGTGCTTTTTGAGCTATGGCTCAGGACCCCCTTATGGTCATGAAATTAACTGAGAGAACTGGGACTAGCTTCTGCATTTAAAAAATAAAATGAAGCAGAAACAAAATTGAAAGTATCATTCTTTGCCTGGATGATTCCAGCTGTCCATCCTACACATCTCTCTCAAGCTGCTTTCAAGTCCGTGTAGCACATAGTGCTCACACACAGCTTCTGGCATTCAGGTGACTCATCATAACCTGGGCAGCTACTCTTACTTAAAAGCACTTGGTGCCTGCTTTATCAGTCTGTCTGGCATTTTAGAGCTGGAGCTGGGCGCCTGTTTCAACTCCAGCACTTACAGTTCTATGATCTTGGACAAGTTATTTAACATCTCCGGAGATCTTCTGAACATCTCCATTTCCTCTTCTGTAAAGTGGGAATGTTTTTTGTTGTTGTTGTTGTTTTTTGGTACTGGGGACTGAACTCGGGACCTTGTGCTTGCAAGGCAGGCAACAGAACCACTGAGCTAAATCCCCAGTCCAGTAAAGTGTGAATGTTAAGTGCACCTGTTTCACAGGTTAGATGGATGAATAAGATGAGTTAACATTTGAAACGTGATCAAAATATATGGCAAATGCTAAAATTTTAAAAATTTGTTACAGTAAAAGACACATTGCCAGGGGCCGGGGATTTACCTCAGTGGTTTCGCTGCCTGCTGCGCAAGCACAAGGACCCGAGTTCGATCCCTGGTACCAAAAAAAAAGACACACTGCCATTTATTTATCCTCTCAAAATCTTCCCCTTTGCTTCAAACACATTTATCCTATGGTTCTTGCCCCTTTCTGAAGCAATTCTGGACATTCTCTTTCATGAGTGTCTTTACTTATTCTACTGGGAATCAGGTGATAGCCCACTATAGTTTTTTGGGTTTTTTTGTACCAGGGATTGAACTCAGGACCTTGCGCTTTTGAAGCAGGCAGTGGAAACACTGAGCTAAATCCCTGGCCCTCCCACTGTGGTTTTGATTTGCATTTCCCTGACAACTGATGATACTGGTTGCTCTTCCATGTATTTGTTGGCCATTTGTGTAGATTACTTTAAGAAACTGTGTTTTTATCTGAAGAGCACAGGGAAGACATAGGGGATTTTAAGTTAGGAAGGTCACATGCTGCTGGCAAGTGCCATACAACAGAAAGGCAGGCTCATAAAAACATTATGATGTATCGACTACCTTTTTCACTGGATCTGGCACCATGTGACTTCTGGCTCTTCCCCAAAGTCAAAATGACCACAAAAGGGAAAGGTTCTGAATTGATTCAAGACATCAAGACAGCCATGAGAGCACAACTAAAGACATTCACAAAGAGAACTTCTGAAAGTAAGAACCACAGTATAAATGTGTTTGAACCTGGGGATGGAGATATTTTGAGGAGGATTAATGCCAATGTGTCTTTTACTGTAATGATTTTTTAAAAATTTAAACATTCACCAAGTTTCCGTTACACTTCATATGCTAATAGCTCAAAAAAGCACAAGGATAGTAGGGAGTAATATTATCACTCCCCATTCAAGGCTCCAGGAGCCCTAGGAAGACCCACTCCTTCTTTGGCCCAAGCCCCCAAGTCCCGGGGGCTCCAGGGCCCCTGCTGTGTACACTTTGCACATCAGACACCCCTTGTTCTGGGAAGAGGCTTCTTGCCAGCGGTGTGCAACCCTCCAGACGAAGAGTTTAAGCTCTGGATCTCTAGCTCTGCTACCTGAGGCTGCTTACTATTTCTACGCCTCAGTTTCCACTTCTGTAAAATGAGAATAATAACAGCACTTGCCTCATAGGGCCACGTTAAGTATTAAATAGAATAATGTACAGGAAGTATCCAGCACAGGACAAGATTAGTTGTCACCAGCAGGATGTAGCTCAATGCGTCAGGAACAAACCTCAGATTGTCTTCTACAACTTGGAAGATGCTCCTCACTGATGTCTGGGGATTGATGTATAGATCAAAACTGAGGCCAGCAGCCAGGGATTGTGGCACACGCTTGTAATCCCAGCACTCTGGGAGGCTGAGGCAGGAGGATCGAAAGTGGAAGACCAGCCTGGACAATTTAGTGATTTAATGAGACTCTGTCTCAATATAAAAAAATTAAAAAGGACTAGGGATGTAGCTTAGTGCAGAGGCCCTGGGTTCAGTTTCCAGTGCTAAAAAACCAGAACACCCGAGACCAGCTGCCTTGCCCGCTGATCCTCAGTTTGATATACACACAGCACACACTGAATAGAGCTCTACAGCTCCTATGCCTTGCACACCTCTACTCTCTGCAGGTAAGATGAAGCAAGTGGGGCTCGGAGAACACAGAGCATTCGCCCAGCATCAAGCAGTGGGAGTCTTCTCAGCCCACTGAGGCTGCAGAGTTTACTGTGGCCGGCGAATGCCAACCACAGAGCAGGTTCACCTGGTGAGGCTGGACTGAGGGGGCCACCATCAGAGAATGGTTCACCCTAGGAGAGGAACTTCCACTTCCCGGCATGCTGAGGAGTGAAAAGAGCAACAGATGGGATCAGGCCCTGCATCCCTGGCTGTGCATCCGGCTGATTCTCTAACAAGCTTGCTAATCCAAGAAATGAGGGACTGGATCGATCCTCCGCCCCACCTGGTTTCCCTGAGGATCCCATGCGAAAGCACCAGGGAAAGTGCTTAAGGAAGGTGAGTCACTGTGGTCTTTCCTGCTGCTGCCACTGCCGAGGAGGCTCTGGGGCCTCTTCAACCTCTCAGGACAGTGGATGAGGTCACTCAGCATTGCCAGGTCGGGGTGGGAGGGGGAGACACGGGATTCCTTTCTCCTCCGTGAGAATGAATGGGTTGGGACGATGCTCTCACTGCAACAAAGACTGGGGGCAAAAAGTCCCAGCAGCCTCTGAGCGCGGCTGCCTGGCCTTAAGGCACATAGCCAGTTCCTCCCTGCAGAGCCCACAGGCGGCAAGCGGGCTGGGCTGCACTGCAGGGCTCCTCCGCCCCACCGTTACCTTCCACTGCCTGTGCTCAGCAAAGCATCCCTCCAATGAATGTGCCAGCACCCCTGAGCACACTGTCATAAGTGTTAGGGGACCACTTTCTTTCCTTTTTCAATATTTCCAGGAAAGGAGGAACATAAATTCTGCAGAAGTCATTTAAAGTCATAAACCTTAAAAATGTTTGCAGCATGTTCTTCTGATTGAAGTTTTCCAGCTGACTCGGGCCATGCCACAGCACAACACAGCCTCTCAGTGGCGCCAGGGAAATGGCACTTTTGAATGTCTTCCAAGTGACATTGCAGAGAGAAAGGTTATTTTGCCTCCGTGGTATTGATTTCTTAAGTGAGTCTTTTGATTCTGAAGTCAAGAAAAAAATGGGGTCTCTGCTTTTTGAGGTTAGTTCTTGGCCAGGATTTCAAAAATACATCCTTTTTCTGACTCACTAAGGCTTCTATATCATGGGGAGTGGGGGTGTCGGGGTTTGTAACATTCTGAGAACTGGTCCTCAGAGGGACAGGATTCCCTCCTGGACAGGTGGTCAGGAGTCTGGCCCTTAGCTCATTCTTCACTCAGACTTCAGGGAAAGACTGGTCATTTAAAAATTAAAAATTAAAAAATTAAAAACAGACATTTCAGTCTGCACATAGTGCCGTACACCTGCAATCCCAGCACTCAGGAGGCTGAGGCAAGAGGATCACTGTGAATTCAAACTCAACCTAAACTGCATAGTGAGACCCTGTCTCAAAAAAAACCCCAAATAAATAAATAGTTTTCTTTTATTTCCCCTATGAAAGCAGCACGGTGGCTGGAGGGCACAAAGGACACTGCAGTAGATGAAGTGGGGTGGGAGAGCATTCCCCAGGTCAGGATGCACATTTCCGGTTATGAGGGACGAGAGTGGCATCTGAGTTGGATGGTGGGCCCCTGCCCTCCCAGAGGAGGAAGGGTGGTGAAGGCAGCCACAGGGCAGGAAAGCATGGAGAAAAGTGGAGGTAGTGCTAGGGTCAGAGGTCCATGGGAGCGGTGAGGGAAGGAAGACAGAAAGAAAACACACGGTGGCCGGGGATTTAGCTCAGTGGTGCCACTGCCTGCCTTGCAAGCGCAAGGTCCCGAGTTCAAGCCCTAGTACCAAAAAAAAAAGAAGACAGGAGGAGAAGAATGCAGCCCAAGGACCTGGGGAGGTGGCTTCCCGAAGAGGGGCCTGGGGTAGGAAGAGGGCCTGCTCCAGCAGGCAGGAGATACCAGGACCACGCCTTGGTCCTCCCCACACTCTGCAGCTCCTCAGTTGAGAAGATGCCCACTGCTAAACACCACCACAGGGCACAAAGGCTGTGGCATCCACACCATGCAAGGGGTGACACTATGACTTCCGACTTCCATCCCTCACCCTACTCCAACTCACAAGTCCCACCTCAAGGACTGCCAGGACAGCCCAAGTGCTGCCTATCTATGCTTGGCCCTGGGGTTACACGCACTCGGAGCCCTGAGCTCTTTCTCCACCGCACTGCTGCCACTGCAGTTACTTACTTATCTGTGAAATCACATGTTTAATAGCTGTCCCCCGGGACAAAGTGGAAACCCCAAACGAATACTGTGTGTGTGTTGGTCCCTGCTGCCAACCACTACCAGCAGAGCACCCAGGACACGGCAGCCCAGAGCAAGCACTTGAAGATGAGTGACCACCCCACAAAGAGCCACAGAGGAGCAGGACTTACTACACAACTTGTTCTGGAACACTGAGGTCAGCGACTCTATCTGGCTAAAGTTGGCCACCAAGAAGACATGGTCCTCGTGGGGTTCACTCCCAATAGCCTTGAGTGTGTTGAAGTCCACTTGGCCCACGCCAATGGCGAAGATCAGGATGCCCGTGTCCCGTGCCTTTGCAGCCACTTCAGCCACCGAGTCCTGTGGCCTCCCATCTGTCACAATCATTATGACCCGTGGCACATTCTCCCTGAGGGGCCGGGCCCCCTCTGCTTCTGAGAAGGCGATGTTCAGGGCATACTGGATGGCCAGCCCCGTCATGGTGCCCGTGGACAGATGCCGCATCCTCTTCACAGCCCGCTCCACCTCAGACTTCCTCTTGAAGGTCTTGAGGGAGAACTCATTCTTGACTGTGCTGCCATATTGGAGCAGCCCCACCCGGGTGACCTCAGGACCAATGTCCAGGAATTGCAAGATGTCCACGATGAACTCCTTCACCTTCGCATAGTCCTGGGTGTTGACGCTGCGGGAGCTGTCAATGATGAAGACCAGGTCTGCCCGCTTATTCTCGCAGGAGCTCTCTGAGAAAAGAAGAGAGGCCCAACATATTAGAAGACACTCAAGGACACAGTGAAATTGGCTATTTTTTGGAAATCTAGAGCTCATGACCAGCCCTCAAGTCTCCAGAGTTTTGGTTTTCCCTC